CCACGTGAATAGCTCAGCAGTTAATGTCTCGGTCGACCCCTCAAATATCAAGTACGGGCCATCGGTCACACCTCAGATCGCGCCAAATTATGTCTACGCTACCGCCCAGAACATGGGGGACGCCAACGTGGTGGATGTCAACTTCAACATCACGTGGGTCCTCGAGGTCGACCCGGGCTTTTCCTATTTCGTGCGGTTCCATTTTTGTGACATTGTGAGCAAGTCCCTCAACAGTCTCATCTTCAATGTCTACGTAAACACCGACATGGCCATCAACAGCCTCGACCTATCGAACCAGGCAGGCGACTTGGATGCCCCCTACTACCGGGACTTTGTCGTCCAACTCCCTTCCAACTCGAGTGTTCTCACTGTAAGTGTAGGCCCCGACACCAACACCGACTTCATAAATGCAATCCTCAACGGGCTCGAGGTCATGAAGCTGAGCAATGGGGCCCGAAGCCTGACTGGCAGCCTCCCTGTCGGCACCCTGCTCGTCCTGCCTCACAAGAAGAACAAGACGGGACTTGTGGTAGGGTCTGCTGCTGGGGCCGGCACTGTTGTTGTCCTCTTTATGGGGCTGTGCCTCGTCTGCCTTCGGGCCCGCAGCCCCAAGGAGGGCAGGCAGGGCGGGAGCTCGTGGCTGCTGCCTCTTCCCCTGTACGGGAACTCATTGACCGTCACGAAGACGTCGGCAGCCAGCGGGGGCACTGCCAGCTGCGTCTCTTTGGGGACGCCGAGCCTCGGGCGGTGCTTCACGTTCCAGGAGATTATGGATGCCACCAACAAGTTCGACGAGGGCCTGCTGCTCGGGGTCGGGGGTTTTGGACGGGTGTACCGAGGGACGCTTGAGGACGGGACCCGTGTCGCAGTCAAGCGGGGTAACCCACGGTCGGAGCAGGGGCTGGCCGAGTTCCGCACGGAGATTGAAATGCTGTCCAAGCTGCGTCACCGCCACCTAGTGTCCCTCATCGGGTACTGCGATGAGCGCTCGGAGATGATCCTTGTGTACGAGTACATGGCCAACGGGCCCCTCCGCAGCCACCTGTACGGATCAGACCTCCCCCCACTCCCGTGGAGGCAGCGACTCGAGATCTGCATCGGGGCGGCCCGCGGTCTCCACTACCTTCACACAGGCGCCACACGCAGCATCATCCACCGGGACGTGAAGACGACCAACATTCTCCTCGACGAGGGATTCACCGCCAAGGTGGCCGACTTCGGGCTGTCCAAGGCAGGGCCGGACCTCGACCAGACGCACGTGAGCACGGCCGTGAAGGGGAGCTTTGGGTACCTCGACCCGGAGTACTTCAGGAGGCAGCAGCTGACAGAGAAGTCGGACGTTTACTCGTTCGGGGTGGTGCTGGTGGAGGTGCTGTGCGCAAGGCCTGCCCTCAACCCAGTGTTGCCCAGAGACCAAGTCAACATAGCCGAGTGGGCAATGACGTGGCAGAGGAAGGGGATGCTGGAGCACGTGATGGACAAGAGCCTGGTCGGGAAGGTGAACCCAGCGTCCCTCAAGAAATTTGGGGAGACAGCCGAGAAGTGCCTGGCGGAGCATGGGGTGGACCGGCCGAGCATGGGGGATGTGCTGTGGAATCTGGAGTACGCGCTTCAGCTGGAGGAGACGACTTCGGCCCTGATGGAGCCTGAGGATAACAGCACAAACCATATCCCGGGTCTTGCTCTGGGGACGTTTGACAACAGCGTGAGTATGATTGAAGGGGGGCATTCGGGGACTGATGATGATGGGGAGGATGTGGCCACGAGTGCTGTTTTCTCTCAGCTGGTGAATCCACGTGGCAGGTGAGAAGAAGGGAATATGTTGAGGCCAGAAGGCAATTTGCTATTCTTTTCTTATTTTTGAAAAAAAAAAATCAAATAATAAAATTCTTTCAATTTTATTCTTGAATGATATAATTGGATGCGTGTATTATATATGGGATTTGTGGGGGGTTATTGAGGATTGGGCGAGTCGTTGGTTTGGCATTCGGCTGAGCCCGTCGAATTGTATGCCTTTGTATTCAATGTATTGACACAATTGTTAAAGTTTTTGTTACTTGTGTACACAAATTTTGAGCAACGTTTACGTACTGTGCTATCTTATTTTGGCTGCGTATTGGGAACGTAGTGAAGGGAGCATGATTTCAGATGAAATGACATTATATGTAGTGTTTATGTCAGGTGTTGCAATATGGGGAAATGCTTTCTGATTCGGGCTTGCAATATGGAGAAATGCTATGATCCCGCGTATCATCCCGTCAGGTGTTTTAATCGTTAGATATACATGTAGTTAGTATAAGATAGATAATCCAACGGTTAAAACACTCGACGAAATGGTATCGTAACGGGACTATAGTATTTCTGTGCAATATGAACACTTTTGGATGTTGATGCATTAGTTACTACAAAGTGGGAAAAATGATTGTTATGGGCCTCATAAGACCAAATCTACTTTTCTGAACAAATCTTTTAGGTACCTTGGATAGCTAGAATCCAGTCCAGTGATGGTGGTGCACCGAGTTTCCAAATTTCCAGTTACAACTTAAGTTTAGGGCAGCACCAGATTCGCACAATCACCGTTCTCTCTCTAAATTGATTATAGGCATTGTTTCAATTGCACATTTTAGAAAGAGAAATGAAGAAAAAACATATTTTAACCCATTTATTACACATCCCTTGCCGTTGTCATCTTATAATTCAGTCATACAAATGCAGCAAATAAATTGTTCTTTGCTTATGGCTAGGGCTGCAAACAAGTCTGGCCTTATCGAGCATGATTGATTTTTTTTTTTTTTTT